AAAACATTTTGACACCTAGGATGTACAGTGTGAAAAAAAATGAGATGGCAAGAAAAAAATCTTAAAAAATTTCTTATTCCTTTTTTTTTTTTCTTCGTTTGTTTTTCCTTTTTCCCTTTGTTCTTCCTCTCTCTTTCCTTTAACCTTCTTCTACAAACCCTAATTCCTAATATTAAATTCAAGGATAACACAACAAATCAACAGATTAAACTCAATAGATATTTGACCCAAGGGCTGCTGGGTTCGAAACGAAACCCAAAGCCTCACTTGCAGGAACTCAGCAGCTGCTCAAACCCACCTCCTGCTGGGTTCAAAATCGAACCCAGCACCTGCAAACGAACCCAACACCTGCAAAAACCTAGCATTCGAAATTGAAAAATCGAACCCAGCATCGAACCCCAACACCTAACACCTGCAGTAATGCCTTCTTCATCTTCATCAATCAATTTTTTCATCACAATCAAACAACAAAATCCAAAAAACAAAAACAGAAATATTTTTTTTTTAAATTTTTTGCATCTGGGTTCACAAGGAACCCAAGCGTGCTGGGTTTGTAGGAACCCAAACGTGAACCCAGCACGCTTGGGTTCCTTGCGAACCCAGCACCTGGGTTCGCAAGGAACCGAACCCAAGCGTGCTGGGTTCCACCAAACCCAGGCATGCTGGGTTCGGTGCGAACCCAAACGCGAACCCAGCGAACCCAGCACAAGACGCGAACCCAACAAACCCAGCACCAGACGCGAACCCAACACCAAACGCGAACCCAGCACCAAATGCGAACCCAACACCAGACGCGAACCCAGCACCAAACGCGAACCCAACACCAGACGCGAACTCAACACCAGACGCGAACCCAGCACGCTTGGGTTCCTTGCAAACCCAGCGCCTGGGTTCGCAAGGAACCCAGCGCCTGGGTGGGTTCGAAGGAACCCAAGCCTGCTGGGTTCCGAGGGGAAAAAGAAGAGAAAGGGGAAGGAGAAAGAGAAAGGAAAAGGGGAAGGAGAAAGAAAAAAGGAAAAAAGAAAAAAGAAAAAAAATTTTAAGTTTTATTTATCATAATATTTTTTTATATTATTATTTTTTCCACATCATCACTTTTTGGTCTTCCACGTGGATTGCTACATGACATGTCATCTGGTAACCGTGAAGCAACAGACCACGTCACACAGTTTTTAACGGAAGGACCAAATCGGGGTAAAAATGGTAAACAGTAGGGACCAAATCAGGGATTTTTTTAGTTTATGGACCAAATCGGGGTAAAAATGGTAAACAGTAGGGACCAAATCAGGGATTTTTTTAGTTCAGGGACCAAATCTGGGGTCCGTACAATAGTTCAGGGACCAAAAAGGGGTTTTAACCAAGTATTTAAGGTCTTTTCTGGTAAATTTTGGACGAGCAGTATAGACCCTAAGTTCCGAATTTCAATCTACGTTTTGATCTATTTTTACCCGTTTAGGTATATGGGTCGTGTTTGTGGAACCCGACCTAATAAATTTATGTAT